TACAAATGAAACGATTTGTTGCTCGGTGTAAATTGGGGGTAACGGCTTCACGTGCTCGCCGCCCACGTGCTTTTGTTTTACTTTTCTTACATGAAGTACGTGCGAGGCTAGGTTAGGTTTATGCTGCGGCTCCAATGAAGGAAGCCTCTCGTTTCATGTTCTTTTCAGCTTTGACAGTCGCTGATGGGATCTTACGGAGATAATTCAAACATAAATATTGAGTTTTTACAGATTGGATTGGTATGAACAGCACAGAGAACACAGAGAACACAGAGAACACAGAGAACATGGACCCTGGCTCTCTCGGTCACTCTCTTTGGTCCTTTTTCTATACTGTAGCTCTATGCTTTAGCGGTGTCCTTTGCCGTAGCCGTTAGCGACCAAAATATACGCCCACATTTTCCGCTGTTTGCATTTACATGACTGTTATTTAAAATGTAAGGTCTCATGACATGTTTGACATTTCACTTCAGTACAATTCAATTAGATTTTTCTGATCCTGTTGAGGTCAGGGTTGGGTATTGGCTAAACTTTGACCGTTTGTTAGCATCGCAATGTTTGGGCCACAATTCAGTATTATTGCGATTCTTAACATCACTGTTAGAATTACAAACACTTAATCCTTGAATATTCAGGATATTATTACAAGACAGAATCGTTCTCTTAATAGACTCTCGCATAAACGGGGAGCTCCCAGCCACAAAGAGCAGACTTCATAGAGTAATATAAACCTCAGATGTAGATTACCACAGGAAACAGAAAATTAGTTAAATTAACGATATGTAAGATTTTCATGTCATCATTAAAGGGCCCTAATCTGTCATAATAATAAACTGTTCTTTTCCAATACTTCTTTAACTGATAACTGTAGTTCAGAGATATTTGGATTTCAAAATAAGTTTTCCAGCCCCTAAATCTTGTTATTGTTTTAATTTCGATGTCCCGCCCTCCACCGTTTCAGCAATCAGGAAGTCTTTAATCCGGGCGCCAGAACTCACCGCGTCAAGCTAATCTCACTGGTAAAGTACCATGTGGCGCAGAACTAAAAAAGATCTCGTTATGATTCTCAAATCATTGACGACAAAACAAGGAATAAAACCAGGATTTCTATCTTTGTGAAAAAGGTGTTGGTTATAGATTTGTTGTTGACAAAACCTTTGTCTATTCAGCTGTTATGGTCCCAGCTGGATTCGTCTGCATATCTGGCAACCTGAGTCAGGGAGAGTGGGAGAGGCTGCAGTACCACTTTTGGCCACATTTTTACATACTGCTCCTTTAACTCAATATTTAAATACTTGTACTGTACCGATTTAATTGTGTGTGCAAAATATCACAATTCTGAACACAATATTTTCCCACCACTACTAGCGATGATCTGATATCGTCCCATCTCAAATCTGCCATTTATGGGGAAAGTCCTGTTGAGAAAGTTGTCTACCAACAGCTTACTAGATTTCTTATAATCAACAACTCATTTGATATGTTTCAGTCCGGCTTTAGACCCCACCACAGCACTGAGACTGCTCTTGTTAAGGTTACAAACGATATCCGGCTGAACAATGACGCAGGCAAAGTCTCAATCTTAGGCCCTGTCCACACGAAGTCAAGCTCAGACCTAAACGCAAAAATACTTTATCAATCCAGTGTATCGTCCATACGAGGCCGGCGTTTTGGGGGGGTGTAAACGAACATTTTTGAAAGTAGGTCCCAGAGTGGAAAGATTTCAAAACTCCGTATATGCCGCTCCGTGGTTACTGCCTCTCCGCAATGTATCTGAGACGCTTGCGTCATCGCCCCGCCTCTTGTTAAAGCACGCATGCGCCGCACTCAGAAAATAATGACAACAACAATGTAGCTTGTTGGTTTTGTAATCCAGTGTGACCCGAAGCAACAGTTCAACCTCATCGTCCGTCCATACTAATGTAGTACCAGCTCGCCCACTCGTCATGTTGTCTGTTTACAAAATTCTGCGCATGCCCAGTTCCCGTCACGGAAGTTTGGGCTTGATCCCGTCATTGCGTCACAGCGCCACCAACAGGTCTGGCATAGTTTCACAGCGTTTTCAGGCGTATTGACTACATTCATATGGACGCACACATTTACTGAGCTAACTCCGTGTTTACAGAAAAAGTTTCTGAAATTATAAGCGTTTTGTCTTCGTGTGGATATAGCCTTAATCTTGTTAGATCTGAGTGCTGCCTTTGACACTGTCGACCATGAGATCCTCTTAGAGAGACTAGAGGACTGGGTTGGAGTCGCTGGCACCGCCCTAAGTTGGTTTAGGTCTTACCTTGAGGACAGGAAGTACTTTGTGGAGATTGGAAACTGTGGCCCTGACCTGTGGAGTACCACAGGGGTCGATCCTGGGACCTCTTCTGTTCTCTACATGCTGCCGTTAGGTCAGTTAATACGCAGAAACAAAGTGTCCTATCACAACTATGCAGACGACACTCAGATCTATGTCTCACTGACTGCAGGAGAACATGGACCAGTGGACTCACTCCTTCACTGTATCCAACAGATCAGTGAGTGGATGCAAAACAACTTCCTTCAGCTAAACGCAGACAAAACTGAAATGATTGTCTTTGGTCCCCAGAAACAAAGAGAGAGCATCATCTGTCACCTACAGTCTCTCTCCCTAAAACCTTCAAACAAGGTCAGAAATCTAGGGGTAATACTGGACTCAGACTTAAATTTTAATAGCCACATCAAATCAGTAACATCAGCAGCTTTTTACCATCTAAAAAACATTGCCAGGATCAAAAACATAGTGTCTAAAGCAGACCTGGAGATTCTTATCCATGCATTTGTCTCCAGTAGGTTAGACTACTGAAATGGCCTGCTCACAGGTCTATCCAAACAGGCTGTAAAACAGCTGCAGTACATTCAAAATGCAGCAGCTCGAGTCCTGACTAGAACCAGGAAGTACGACCACATTAGTCCTGACTAGAACCAGGAAGTACGACCATATTAGTGCAGTTCTCAGGTCTCTGCACTGGCTTCCTGTGGCTCAGAGAATAGACTTTAAAACAGCTCTGCTTGTTACAAGTCTCTCCATGGCCTCGCACCAAAATATATTAGTGACATGTTAGTACCATATGAACCAGCCCGGACTCTGAGGAGCACAGGGACTGGACTCCTGTTAGTGCCCAGAGTCAGAACTAAACATGGGGAGGCTGCTTTTCAGATTCATGCTGCTAAAATCTGGAACAGTCTTCCTGAAGATGTGAGACAGGCCTCCTCTCTGACAATGTTTAAAACCAGGTTAAAGACAGTTCTGTTTAGCTGTGCTACAACTGAGGGATTTTATACTTTTATCTTTCTTTTTAATGTTCTGTGATTATTTATGATTTTAATGCTTTCTTGTTTTGCTCTGCACTTTGAATTGCCTTGTGTATGAATTGTGCTATACAAATAAACTTGCCTTGCCTTATAGTAAACTGTGCCAAACTTTATGACTGTGACTCTCTCGTAATCTCATCTATTATTTATCAAAACCATTATTTAATTTTAAAATGGACGTCATTAAACCAGAAAAAGTCAGACTTAGAACCTTAAAAACTCTTAGTCTGCAAGTGTTTCTCTTGGTTATATAATACTTATAATTGTTTTTATTATGAAACTCAGGGTTATATATGCACTATTTTGATATTCTACTTATGTTTGTTGTACACTTTGATAATGCTGTTTCAACTACAGTTGAACCTGATGAAATCTCACACAACAAAGAGACAAAGTTAATCTTTTACTTGTTACATTGTACAAGGAGAATGTCTTGACAGAGGCAAGGCACAGACCCCAGCCTCTCTCAGGACAAGTCTGAAGATTCACAGATGGCAAGCCCCTTTTGGTAGAACAAGACACACCTTCGTATGCAGATGGGAAAGGAAGAAACCAACACAACAAAAGGCACTTAGCATATGAGCTCCCCAGACCTCCCGGTGTCTTCCTGAAGATAAAGTGAATTACAGTACAGAGCATTCAGCACATAGCCACATATGATTTACCAAAATGATAACTTAAAGGTATATAGGAGGATTTTCTACTTCTGGGTGGATCATCAAGACTATTGGTCCTCCCAACTGTCAATCATTCTGGTGACACGTGCTCGTCCAATAAGACCAGAGAGTTTGGTTCGAAAAGTGGAGAGGGCGGTTCTTTCCTAAAACCTGGGAAAATCCTCCTATACACCTTTAAGTTACATTCCAATATCATTATCACACTTATTTGCTCAAAATAAACGTTGTTATTGTTATTATTATTATTATTATTGTTGTTATTATTATTATTATTATTAAAGTCTACTTTTTAATTAAAGCCAGTTGAAGTCATTCTTTAAGGCTTCCGTCCTTGGTGACATTTAAAATCTTGCTTCTTTTACTTTTGGGGCGACAGGGAACCTTAACTGCAAAATCCTAAATACATGTTTTATGTGTATCAAATTTGTTTAGAAATGTAACGTGTATGTTTGTGGTGATAGAAGGAAGACTCTCAAGGTAATAGAACAGCAGGATGGAGCAGGATTCTTTTAAGCCAGCAGTCACTTTTATTATCAACACATTTCCAACTCTCTCCTTCCTCTCCTACATCACCGTCACGTGACCCATTTTACCCAATCACTGCACTGCTCCAAACTAACAAAGATCTAACTCATCAAAATAATATCACTCTTACATTACTCCCCCTCCCACAAAAGAAACGTCCCCGTTTCAGACAACAGGAAAAAAAAAAATCCAATATAACACAAAATCACTCAGTAACATAATCCCTGAGGTACGCAGGTGGCCTAACAGTACGCCGGCTGGGCCGTGAAAACGTACTCATACCGTCACACACAGGAGGAACATTGGGAGAACCCTGGGAGTCCGCAGGAACAAGGAGCAGAGGCTCGGACTGGGGCGAGGCCGCAGGTAAAGTTACCGGCGGAGTAACATCTCTGCACGTGTCACTATTACCCATGCCCTGAGAGAACGAATAAGGCAAAGCACCAGACAAAGCATTCAATGCAGGCAGCCCGGGCTGTGTAGGTACAGTCGGAACAGGGGCCCTGACATTGCTTTCTGGAACTGGAGCTCTGTAAGATCTGAGCCGATTATAGTGAACAATTTGGGAGCGACTCGAATCATCTAACAAATAACGAATCTTATAGGTCACACCCTGCGTCTGCTCTTCTAAACCACCTAGACACTCGTGAACCACAAATGGACCTTTCCAATGAGGAGCCAGTTTTTGATTAGACTTTGTAGGATCATTTAACCACACGAGGGCCCCAGGCGCATATGGAACATGCTTAACACGTTTATCATACTGCACTTTCTGTTTGTGTGAAGCATCATTCCTATTGTTCACTGCAGTGACGAAAGCGGTTTCAAGTTTCTGCGTTAACCTCTCTGCATACTCTGTTTCGTGCAGAAAGAGGCACGCTGTTGTCAAGTAACAGATTGGCGGGCATCCTCGCTTCAAAACCATGTGTAAGAAAAAAGGGAGTAAAGCCAGTAGTGGAGTGTCACAGTATTATAGACCTTACGACAAAGAAGTCCCTCATTAAATGAGAGTCTGTTGAATTCATGCCACAGAGCCTTTTCTACCTGGGTGCGCTTTTTCATACACCAATAAGGCGGTTTGTGTCCCTTCCTTGTCCAGTTTATAACCTCAGACAAAACTGGATCCTGTTGTTGAGCCATTTTGAGCTCCTCTGCCGGGAGCTGCAGCATGCTGGTGGAGGCAACAGTCTGTGAAACTCCTTGTATGTCCGAATAATGGGGCGGAGCCTCCACTGCTGAACTCACATGTGATAAGTCTGTATCAGTGAATGCACCTGTGACAGCCGGTTCTGCAGCTAGAGGGTCCTTTGGACGGCGCGACAAAGCATCTGCATTCAAATGACAGTAGCCTTCTTTGTAAACCACTGGCCATTCAAACGGGTCAAGTTCAAGAGCCCAACGTGCGCGTCTCCCAGTGTTGTCACTGTCAATAGGGATTTTCCTGAGACCCAATAGTGGTTTGTGATCCGTCACAAAAACAAATGGCTGCTTGTAAAGATAATGCCGGAAATGACATACTGCCCACACAATAGCCCAAAGTTCTCGGTCATATGTGGACCACTTCTTCTCCGCTTTCGTCAAGACATGACTGGCGTAAGCCACTACTTTTTCAGTCTGCTCTTGTTTCTGTCCCAGGACGGCGCCCACAGCAGTGCATGATGCATCTGTATAAAGGACAAATGGCAATGAAAAGTCAGGAAACGCAATGACTGGAGGCTTTGATAAAGCACTCTTCAAATAGACAAAGGCATCTTGGCAGTCTGTAGTCCATGCAAAAGGAGATTTCTTTGCAGTGAGGGCATGCAACGGTGCACTGTGGTGTGCAAAACTTTTTATAAACTTGCGATAGTACGAACAAAGACCAAGAAAAGCCCTCACCTCTGTCGCAGTCCGTGGGATAGGCCAGCTTTGCACACTGCTCACATTACGTGGGTCTGGGTGTACCCCCGCTCCTGATACCACGTGGCCCAAAAAATTCACCTGCTTCTGGGCAAAACTGCATTTGGATGAATTCAATTTGAGTCCACTTGACTTGAACCTGGAGAAAACCTCTTCCAAGTGCTGGAGGTGCTCACTAAATGTGCGACTAAATATCAGAACATCGTCCAGATAGACAAGACACATCTTCCAAGGGAGTCCACGTAGCACCATCTCCATTAAGCGTTGGCATGTGGCAGGAGCATTGGTGAGGCCCATGGGCATCACTTTAAAATGATAGAGCCCGCTACCTGTTGTGAAAGCTGTCTTCTCGCGGTCATGTTCCTCCAGCTCCACTTACCAATAACCATGTTGTAAGTCCATTGTTGAAAACCAGGCAGAGCTTGATAGAGCGTCCAATGCATCGTCCACTCTGGGAAGTGGATGTGAGTCCTTTATTGTCACCGCATTTAGTTTGCGATAGTCCAAACAAAAGCACCATGTCCCATTTTGTTTACGCACTAAAACAACTGGCGCTGCCCATGGACTAAAGCTCTCCTCAATAATGTCAGCTTTTAGAAGTTCATCGACCTGTGCTTGTATCTCCGCCCACTGGTCAGGAGTCACTCTGTATGCTCTTTGTTTACTAGGCATAGCGTCACCTGTGCGAATGTGGTGCCTTATTACCCCTGTGCGGCCCCTATCCTGGGAATTCAAACTGAACACCTCAGTATACTTCACTAAAAGAGGATTTAATGCTGCAGTTTGAGAGTGTGATAGGTGTGTATTTGTTAACTGCACTAATGGTGACAAATCCTCATTGGCCAATGAGGACGCCTCATTAAGAGGTGCTATGTCAACAGAGGAAACTGAATGAAATTCACCCAGATGTTGGCCTGGATGTAGTTCAATATCATCTCTAGAGGTGTTCAACACTCTAACTACAGTGGTGCCATGCCGGACAGTACTAACTGTGTGCGCCACAATGACATCAGTGTTTGTATTGGGCATTATTACACCACAATAGTCTGTCGGTACTGGCGAGGCAGGAGTAGCAGAAGATACACAAGCTGAAATTAATGTTTCACTCATAGCTGGTATTTTAGTGGGTACTAAGACTGACACATTACAGCATGCGGTCACTTCAGGTTGTTTTGGTAACAGTGGGATTGTCATGTCCCAAAGCTGTAGTACTTTGTTTTTAATGTCCAGCAAGGCACGGTGTTGCACCAGAAAATCCCAGCTTAAGATAACTGGTTGATAAGCCCCTCTGAGCACTTCAAACTCACGTTGCCAAACTTTGATCCCAGGCGTTGCCCGCTGGAGGGGGGGGTCCTGGGATTCCTACAGGAGCTCTTTAACAAGGGGAGGGCTGTCGCCACCTTGGCGGTGTTCGCGGCAGCCATTACTTCGGGTTACGACGGATTCGGGGGGTTCACAGCCCACTGTAGAACGAGGACTGAGGCTGTAGATACAGGACTCAGACTGTAGAACGAGGACTGAGGCTGTAGATCCAGGACTCAGACTGTAGAACGAGGACTGAGGTTGTAGATCCAGGACTCAGACTGTAGAACGAGGACTGAGGCTGTAGATCCAGGACTCAGACTGTAGAACGAGGACTGAGGCTGTAGAACGCGGACTGAGGCTGTAGATCCAGGACTCAGACTGTAGAACGAGGACTGAGGCTGTAGATCCAGGACTCAGACTGTAGAACGAGGACTGAGGCTGTAGATCCAGGACTCACTGTAGAACGAGGACTGAGGCTGTAGATCCAGGACTCAGACTGTAGAACGAGGACTGAGGCTGTAGATCCAGGACTCAAACTGTAGAACGAGGATTGAGGCTGTAGATCCAGGACTCAGACTGTAGAACGAGGACTGAGGCTGTAGATCCAGGACTCAGACTGTAGAACGAGGACTGAGGCTGTAGATCCAGGACTCACTGTAGAACGAGGACTGAGGCTGTAGATCCAGGACTCAGACTGTAGAACGAGGACTGAGGTTGTAGATCCAGGACTCAGACTGTAGAACGAGGACTGAGGCTGTAGATCCAGGACTCAGACTGTAGAACGAGGACTGAGGTTGTAGATCCAGGACTCAGACTGTAGAACGAGGACTGAGGCTGTAGATCCACACATACATCCGCACATACAGGACAGTAGTAAGAGCACACAGGGAGTACACAAAATATATACAAAGTAAGTAGTAGCTATGTTTATTAACTAGCTGTAGATGCTGAAAATGCTTCAATACCAGTCAAAAATATATATACAGTGTATGCAGTAATCATTTATATACTGTATATACAGTGCAGGATGATAAGTAGATAAAGTAAAGTGAAATGGTTCAGTGGACAGGAGCTCTGGTGTGTGCCGTCTGGTGCACACTGGGGTCGTCTTGCACAGTTTTTCCAATGTGGTTTTACTGCTGTAGTGTCTCCTTGTTCTTGAAGACAGGGTTTCCCGCACAAATGGATAGTGATGGAGAAGCAATAAACTCTTGAGTTATGATTAAAAGGAGTTTAATGACATCAGAATACATTCAGTTCAATTCAGGCAAAGAGCTCTTCTGCCTGGGTCCCTCTCTGATTAAGGCTCGACGCCAGAAGACCCAGAAATAGCAAACTGAGATGGGTTAAATACTAACAGTTAGCTTTACCATATACAGTATGTCCATCTGACCTATGATCTTAAAAGAAAGCCTGCTTTTCTGTGGCCTGGTCAGCATTCCTGTTGGATGTGAATATAACAACATACAGATCATATATCACATTACAAATGGCAAATAAATGAATCTGAAATCTGATCTGAATCTGACATTCCCAAGTTGCAGTAGTTGATAAACCATGATATACGCACTCCTGTCTGAATTCATAACAGATCTAGCTCTTGACTTAAAGTAGCAATATGTCGAGTCGTCATTAAAGGGCCCTAATCTGTCAAAAGGCATTCATAAAACATGTTCTTTTCCAATTCTTCTTTAACTGATAACAGCAGTTCAGAGATACTTGAATTTCGACATTCTCAAAATATTTTCTCTTTGGTCAACTTTTAAATTGTCAATAAATTCCACTGCTTTTCTGTATAAACTTTCGGCGGTTCTTTCCTCCTTATGAGTCGTCAAATGTTGATAAAAGCTATATCTTGTGTTACATTTCCATTCTCAACAGAGCTCTGCATCCCCGTTGACAAAATAGATTTTTTTGGATTCACCAATGATTCTATTCAGTGGAAGAATCCTTTACAACCACGATCGTCCCGATAGGATTTAGCGCTAACAAATGCACAGAGCAAGATGAGATGAGTTAGATGCAAGCCCTGGCGATCCAAGATGGCGCCCTTTTCAAATGAATGCTCAGTGGCGCTTTGCCGGTTTGGGGGGTGAAAGAATAGCGGAAGTCGGCTGGAACTCGCAAAGATTCATGGGAAACTCGCCTGTATTTGGGTTAGCGCGAAATACACGTGTGTGGCTCTCATGCACGTACACAGAGAGGCTCGGCCGCGCTCTGACCAATCAGAGGGCAGCGTTCCGACCAATCAGAGCTGCTGATCTGAGCAGAGTTAGAGCGGGAGCCCGACGAGCAGAGTTTGTGACCGTAAAATGTGGATTTAAAGAAAACCGAAGGATCTAAGAAGAAAAAAAGTTCAGGATGACAAGGGACACTAAAATCCCCACAAAATCAGACCTTTATGAAAGTTGTAGGTTCTCTGTCAGGTTCTCTGTCAGGTTCTCTGTCAGCTGAGGTCGAGCTGTTTTAGTTTACATTGAGTTCTATGGGGAACATTTCTGGGTAGCCCACGTGAATTTTTTCTGGTCTAGTCTGCAGTACTGAGAGAATCCCCCGAGCACATGGTCCTTCAGCTCCAAGCTAATAATACCCTCTCCAGTTATTATAATAGATCCATGGTTAGATGAGTTATTCTGAGCCGTCTGCAGTTCCTCCAGAGTCAGACCAGGCCCATCGTCTCTGGTCCGATCAGAAAAACACAGAATCAATAAAGTGTGGTGTAAGTGGCGTCGCAGCAGTGGACGGTAATCACCCCGAGGTCCATGAGGCGGCGATGTCTGTGAGTCAGGTCCTGTGTCGGAGTCAAACCATTTCTCTTATGACGCCTTATGTGCGTGTTTACTTTAATGTTTTGATCTCACACACCAAAGTGGAGATGAAATGACGTGTTCTTCTGTAAAATAGAAAATGGAATGGCTGTAATAACGCGGTGAAGGCGCGGTTAGTCATTACCAGACACAATGGGAATGAAAATGAGAAATACACCAGTTCTTAATCAACAAACACAGCAGGGCAACGTCATCCATGCAGCAGGCTCTGAGGACACTGAGGATCCTGGTCTTGGGTTTGAATCCCGGTCGGAACATGGTCTTTCTGAGTGGAGTTTGCATTTTCTCTGCGTGCCTGTAGTGTATAGGTTTACTTTTGAATGTGCTGTAAAAGGCAGCCAGTCCAAAGTGTCTCTGAAACAGCTGGACTAATAGTGGCGGCACGGTGGCTGAGTGGATAGCACTCTCGCCTCTCAGCAAGAAGGTCCTGGGTTTGAATCCCGGCCGGAGCAGGGCCTTTCTGAGTGGAGTTTGCATGTTCTCCCCGTGTCTGCGTAGGTTTCCTCCGGGTACTCCAGTTTCCCATACCACTAAAAATATGTACAATAGGTCTGGCATGTGCCTCCTGTACTGGCCCCGCTCCCATCTCTGTGTGGAGTGAGAGACAAATGCCCAAAAAAATAACAATTGTAAACCGCTTTGTGACTCTGGTCTGTGAAAGGCGGTGTATAAATAAAGCTTCCTTCTTACTTACTATTGTGTTATGCTTGTGTTTATGGTTTTACACTGGTCCAGACCAGAGCAGAGAGGATTCATGGTTTTACACTGGTCCAGACCAGAGCAGAGAGGATTCATGGTTTTACACTGGTCCAGACCAGAGCAGAGAGGATTCATGGTTTTACACTGGTCCAGACCAGAGCAGAGAGGATTCATGGTCCGAACCAAGTGGATCAGGTAAAAATCCACTGGAGGAATGCTAACTTTTTGAAGAATGCTAATGAACCATACATCATCATACTTTGGACCAGAGCAGAGAAAATGGTCTGAACCAAGCGGCTCCACCTCTGCTGCTGTGACCTGAAGGACTGTTGTGTTTTAATAATATAGTTAGATTTTAGAATTATCTATGTATTTGTTTTGTTTGTTTGGATGGATGTGTTTCTGTTGCTACTGGACTCCTGCATTTCTCCAACAGGGAACAATAAACGATCTATATCCTCCGGGTGCTCCGGTTTCTCCTACCACTATAAACATGCTCACTAGGTAAAATCCTCCAGCTCTGGTCCTGACCAAGCCGAGCATCAACATCTGGAGATGGGTTCCCGGGCGCTGTTACTACGACGACCACTGCTCCTGACTTAAGCCTTAGCAGCATCAGGATGGGTCAAATGCAGAGGATGAGTTGGCCTACGGGGATTTATAACAATTACCTTCAACTCATTTATGAACAATTACAAATTACAAAGAGAAGATAAACTTTATTGATCTCACAATGGAGAGATTTGGCACAGATAGAACCACTCAGACCAAAAAACATAAGGTGTGCAACATGTTAAGGATAAAAATGTTAACACAGTCTGGGCTGAGTATCTAATGTTATTTAATGTACAATAAAAGTGTCTATCTCTGGTACTTTCGTCCTAGTGCAGGTCAGTGCTGGTCTTGCTCCTCCCACTGCCCCTACACTGTATGTTTGTGTTTGTTCAGACATATTCAATAGATGTGCAGGGCTCTGTGTTTTTCAAGGCTTTTAATTCAGACCCACATTTATGACACGCTCGGCACAGTCATCATTAAGCATCCTCTGTGGGTTTTCTTTTGCTGCCGTGTGAGACTTTGCACCGTGCAGCCACAAGTAATTA